GGGAGCAGTAGCTTGTAGCGACCTTACCACAACGATCAACCACCTTATAGGGACCGTAATACTTTGGAGCCAGCTTGGCATTAGAGCGCATAACCACAGAACCTTGACGGTATGGCTGGAGCTTGACAAAGACAGAGTCTCCAATAGCAAAGTTTCTTTCGGAGCGATGTGAATCTGCAGCTTGTTTCATCCTGTGCTGGGCTCTTAGAAGGTGAAACTTCAGGACCAGCAACATGTTTTCTCTCTCTTGTAAGCTTCTTGCCACAACAGCAACCTTAGATTCACCCGGAAGATAAGGGAGATGTATAGGTGGAGCCTGTCCATACACTGCTTCAAAGGGACTGAGATGAGTAGAAGTGTGGAAGTTGGTGTTATACCAAAACTCAGCCAAGGGTAACCAGTTGCTCCATAAGTGAGGTTTGTCACTGCACATACAACGCAAATATGTCTCAAGACATCTGTTGACCACCTCAGTTTGCCCATCACTCTGAGGGTGGTATGCGCTTGAAAACTTTAGATCAACTCCTTGTAAAGAGAATAGTTCCTGCCAAAAAGTGCTAAGGAACATTGTGTCACGATCACTCACTATTGATTTTGGACAGCCATGTAGCCATGAAATGCGCAGCCTTAGTCAACAGTCAACAACAACGAAGATGACTGTCTTACCAGAAGAAACGGGGAGTCCATCGATGAAATCCATGGAGATATCAGACCAAATGGTATCAGGGATAGGAAGAGGTTGGAGAAGACCAGGAGAGGCTGCAGTGTCATATTTGCACTGTTGACAGACACTACAACTTCTTAAATAAGCTTGTATATCATTTGCCATTCCCTTCCAATAGAACAATCCTTTCACGTTTTGATAAGTTGCATCACGACCCGAATGACCCCCTGTTCCTGAGCAATGCATCCATTGAAGTATAGAATTCCGCAGCTGTAAGTCTTTAGGGACTACAATCTTGCTCTTACGACGAAGAATAGATTGAGACCAAGTGAAGTGTTTCTTAACGGATGGATCTTTTTGTAAATCAGAAATGAGTTGTTTTAACTCTGCATCAGTCTCATAGTGAGCCTAAATATCTTTCAAAAGATCACATTCAAGAACGGACATCGCCATGTGTAGAATCTCTGCTCCTTCAACTCTAGACAAAGCGTCAGCTGCCACATTTTCTTTACCTTGACGGTATTGAATCTCATAATCAAATTCCAAGAGCTTTGGTAACCATTGTTGCTGAATAGGCGTGTTTAACCGCTGCTCCAATAAGTACTTCAAGCTACGTTGATCAGTCTTGATGATGAAATGGTTTGGCAACAGATAGTGTCGCCACTTTTGCACTGCAAAGACAACAGCCAAGAGTTCTTTCTCATAAATGGAAAGGTTCAGTTGCTTCCCTTTCAAATGACGGCTAATGTAAGCCAAGGGATGACCCCCTTGCATCAATACTGCTCCAATACCCATCCTGCAAGCATCAGTCTCCACCAAGAATGGTTTATCAAAGAGTGGTAAAGCGCGGACAGGTGCTTGACATAAGGTAGTTTTCAATTGTTGAAATGCCTCCAAAGCTTCCTGTGACCATACAAAAGAGTCCTTCTTCGTCAAAACAGTCACTGGTCTTGCAATGGTGCCATAGTTTTTTATGAAACGCCTGTAGTAACCCGTAAGTCCTAAGAATCCCCGTAGTTGCTTTAGATTGGTAGGTACTGGCCAATCCTGAACTGTTTGGACTTTAGTTGGGTCAGTAGACACTCCACCTGCAGCAATGTAATGACCAAGATACTCCACCTTGGAAGTAGCAAAGGCACATTTACTTTCTTTAGCATAAAGGCAGTGTTCTCTCATTTTGTTGAAAACTTGTTGCAGATGACTCAAATGAGTTTCCAATGAGGAATTGTAGATTAGAATGTCATCAAAAAACACCAAGACAAACTTCCTTAAAAAGTCTTTGAAGACTTAATTCATGAGCCCTTGAAAGGTTGCAGGGGCGTTAGTCAAGCCAAAAGGCATTACCACATATTCAAAATGCCCGCTATGTGTTTTAAAAGCTGTCTTATGAATATCAGCAGGTTCCATGCGTACTTGATGATAACCAGCCCGAAGATCGATCTTAGAAAATATGCAGGAGCCGCCTAACTCATCCATAAGATCCTCAATAAGTGGTATAGGGAATCTATCTTTAATGGTCAAGCCATTCAGACCCCTATAATCCACACATAGGCGCCAAGACCCATCTTTCTTTTTAACCAAGACCACTGGTGCAGCATACGGGCTAGAACTGGACTGAATGATACCACTTTTCAACATTTCATCCACAATTTTATCAATCTCATCTTTCTGGTACACCGCATATCTGTAGGGCCTTTGATTCACCGGGTTAGATCCTTCCAAGACAGGAATTTTGTGATTATGGTTGTCCCTGAATGGAGGTAGCTTAGTTGGTTCTTGAAATATATCAGCAAAGTTGTTCTTGATTTCAGAAATGGCTGTAGAGGAAAAATCATATGGCTGCAAAACTTCAACAGAACAGATACTCTTCTCTGGAAACTTCTCAAGCTCCATTTGACCTTCCTCAGGTTGATCTTCCACAGTATAACCGCATATCATAGAAATTTGTGCTCTCTCCTCCTGCAACTTTTTGTATTTAAGTGTTCTAACTTCCTTGAGACTTCCCTCCTTAATACCATGGAGTAGAACTTTATGTTTTCCCCATAAGAAACTCATTTCCAACTTCTTTAAATTCCAAGTGATATCTCCCAATGTAGAAAGCCATTGAACTCCCAGTACCACATCACACCCTCCCAAGGGAATGATCATAAAATCGGCTTGGAAGTGAGTTCCTTGAAACTCCCATTTAAACTGATCCACCATTCCCTGTACACCAAGTTGACTACCATCGGCTACAGAAACTCTAGTGGTACCTGCAGATCTTCTTTTGACTCCCAAGAATTCAGCAGTTTTTGGATCCATAAAATTATGAGTAGATCCTGAATCCAAGAGAACAAACAACACTCTTTTACCATGAATTCCCCTTACCTTCATGGTTGAATATCCTGGTGCCCCTGATACTGCACTTACTGAAGCTTGTGGTCTACAGACCTCTCCATGTACAACCAATTGAGTATCAGATGATGCTTCTGTCACTTCCCCTTCTTCTTCTTCTGACTCTTCCTCAACCTCAATCATGAAAATCTGAGTCTTCTTGTGTTTCAGATAATGATCCGGGGTATATTTCTCATCACAAAGATAGCACAATCCTTTAGCTCTTCTTGCACTCATTTCTTCTTGAGATAAAAATTTTCTGACAGGTTTCTTGATATCAGTGTTGTTGATGTTCACTTGCTCTGAAGAAGGAGGAGAATACTCCTTTTTAACAGTTGACAAGGGTCTGTGAACAGTGTGTGAACTTGTATTCCTGCTGCTTGACCATTGAGTTGATGTAGTCTTAGGTGGTGGGTGTGCTTTCTCATAAAGCTTCCCTAACAAATAACATTGTTTAATCGAGAGAGGCTCAAACATACGAATATGCATTTGTGTATCCACCCTTAACCCTGCAAGGTACGCACTCACAAGATAGTCTTCAGGGAGATCCACTCGATTCTTAATCAGTTCAAATTTATCATGATAATCCACAATACCAGATGTCTCTTGCAATTGTTTCAACTCAGAGATGGGATCATCCAACAAATCCTCAAACCTATCCAGCACTTCCAATTTATAGGATTCCCAATCCTTCAAGACTCTTTTACTTCCCGGAGTGTGAAGCAAAGATCTATGCCATGTTGCCGCTTCTCCATCAAAATGTAAAGCAGCCATCCTCACTTTCATGTCCAGTGGTGTGTGATCAACCTCAAAAAATTCCTCCACCTGAAACAACCAATCACGAGCACGTTCACCATTGAACCTAGGGAAATTCACCTTCCCGATGCGTGTGAATCCTGCATAATAAGACGGTGGTCCCGATCTATAACCCTGAAACTGTTCGGAACCTCCATCACCAGAACTCGGCGTCGCCGATACTGCCGGAAAGTTCTTAGCCATCCCCATTTTTCCACTTGAAGAAGTCTGATTTGATTTCATCGATTTAACAATTTCTAACATATCGGCAATGTTTTTATCATTTTTCTTATTTTGCTCAGCTACAGATACCTCGAGAGCGTGAGTTCTGTTGAGAATCAGGTCTAGCCGCGATTGGATCGTCTCCTCCGTAGCTTGATCTAACTCCGAAGCTTCTGCTTCCACCGGGTTGTTTTGCAACGGACGAGATCGTAACTCTACCACCATCGTTTCCGAGGATTTGTGGCTCTGATACCAGTGATAAAGGAAAACAGAGTAAGCAAACAGAGTAACTGATGTTTATTGATAGATCAATACAACGTTTACAAGAAACGCAGCATGATCATCTCACCTGCAAGAGTCTCTCAGCGAGGATCTCCAGCAAAACGATGAGGAAGAAAACCAGAACTTTCTGGAAGGTTACAATTGTGATTGTTTTTGCATAATAAAACTGTGAGCTAAACACTTGCTCATATAATGCGTAAAAGTAACAACGTTAACAACGGCTTCCGTCACAGTTAGCCTTGCAGAGAATCTTTAGCCTCCAGCTCACCAATCCGCACGTGCCCTCCGACTTCACACGTGTGTTGTTGACCTTCTAGAAAGCTATATCAGCAACTTATAAAAGACCCAGAGAAAATATGGAGCGCAGGCAATAAGAAACATAAGCTTAATTATTACCTTAACCTTAAGTTGTAACATGAAATCGAGTTTTTCTTGTTAAACAACAACAACAACAAGAGTTTTTCTTGCAGAGGTACAATTAAACAGTTTTTATCCCTATTTTTACTCCAAAGAAACAAACATAAAAGAAAGCCTAAACCTGCATTTCTCTCTGCTCTTTACCAATCAAAGAAAGACAACTTCACATTCGGTAGAGCATCTTGGGATTTTGAGGAGTTTTTTGATGAAGTCATCTGTTATTGAATGAGACTTCAAATGTAGAGTGAGTTTCTTGAGGGTGGGAGAATTCTCTAGGAAGTACCATACGAGCTTCATTTCTGGAGCAAGTTCCCAAATTGGGGATTTGAAATCAACAAACTCGAGGGACGATAGCAAACACTCAGTCACAGATGAAATACTAACTCGTTCCATCGCCTTGGGAGACAGTTGATGGAAAGAACCACCAATCCGTTCCTGTGGAGAAAAATGAGAGGGAAAAACACAATGAAACAATATGCAGAAACTTCATATATAGGGTTTATAGAAGATCATTACCAAGATGAGGGATTTCAGATTCGGGCTACTCAGAAAGATTGGAAACCATTTCAAATCATATGCAGTGAGAGTAACGTATAGACTGGACATGTAACCAAATTGAGGTAGCGGTTTAAATACTGAGTAAAGCTGCATGAGCTGGAACCAGAGAGATAAGAAGAATGTGGGTTACGATACGAAAAATGTGCATGTCCACCACTTGCGTTGACATATATATACCTTGAAAGTGTTTGCACATATCGTCATATCTCTAACCCTCGAATCCAATGACGAGAACATGTTTCTTTCGTCAAAAGCCCACAAAC